CCCCCCCCCCCGAACGAAATGGTGACTGCCGCATCGAACGACAGGCACAAATCGACGGCACCAGTACGATGTAATCCAGAAAACAACTGGCAGCGGCCCCAGCGACGCTGCGCTGCGCTCAAATCACACACACCCTTTGTTGCTTTGGCCCTCACTCACTGTTGCCGATCGGTCGGCCGGCCGGCGGCGCGGCGCTGGTCATCACCGGGCATGGGGCGAGTGTTTTACTAGTCAAAAGGCAGTTACGAACCGTTGAGAGTTGGAGGAAAGGAAGGAGAAAAGGAGAGGGGAGCGAGTGACATGAAAAGCAACGCTTTGAAATAGAGCGGTGTGCGTGTGTACGTCTACCCATGTATCAAATGAACCCGCCAACTCCTCAAATGGACCCGTTAACTCCTCAAATGGACGACGGGACGTCCTTCGTTTCTCAGGAAAAATAAAAGTGTACAAAGAAGGAAGCTACAAGCAGCCGCTATCAACAAAGAAAAAGTGCTCCAAACCAAACCAAATCCTAAAGTGGAAATTCAAGTCCAAAAATCCGACAGTCCCAAGCCGTTTGCGCGCTACCAATGGAAGCCCTGTCTATACCTCTACAGCCTCCACATCTCTACTCCCCCTTCAGCGCTCTAATCCCTTAACGGCCCATTCGGCATAGGCGGGCTCGTGCCCGTCTCGATAACATTCTGCGTCGTGACCGTTGTCGTCCTTATCCCCGTCGGCCACCCGCCCCCTCTATTACTCAGCCCGTCCTCGCTGCTGATATCCGTGAGCTTGGTCTCGCTGCTATTCCAACCATCTTTGCCTCCCGTCAGGGGTCCCACGCTATCGCTTCGGCCAGACATGCTTCTCCTGACGCCTCCCTTGCCAGCTTCCACCAGCGTCGTCACGCCGCGGTTGCGGCCTATGTCCTCGCGCAACCCGAACTCGTCGGCGCAATCGCCGTCTTGCGCCGTGCGGTTGCGGATGTATCCGCCATTACTGGCCGAGGTGGGCCATGGGTTGCTGGTCCCGCCCGCGCCGTGGGGCGTGGTGCTGCCGCCGAAGAGCTTGGAGCGGGCCAAGAAAGTGCGCGCGAGCGGGCGCAAGGTGGCGATTGCCGAGGCGGCGATGCCGATTCCTGTCTCGGCGGTGGACCAGATGGCTACGTCGGTGGTGGCGAAGAGGAAGTCGGCTTGGTTGCCGAGATCATGGACGTAGGGCATGCGCACGATTGTTGCTGTTGAGGCGCTGTGGGGGGGTTTTTGAAGTAAGCAACTGCGCACATGCGAAGAGGATGGATAAGATGGGAGGGTTAATAGGGAGAAAAAGAACTTACATAGCACCAAGCGCCAAAATCGCCGCAACCATGAGTTTAGTCCTCGGCGTCATCTGCAGATGCCATACGAGCGAGATGGGCAACAGACCGAGGATCCAATCGGTGGCGCACGACACGGCCGAATACGCATACGTCGCGTTTACCGTGATCTCGGGGTTGATGCAGGTGCCCTCGCCGCCGGTGAAGCGCTCCCAGAAGTACTTGGAAGGCAGGCACTGCATGACGAACAGCAAAAAGAAGGCCAGACTGCAGACTTGGAAGATGGACACGGTTATCCAGATGATGAGCTTGTGGGTCCTGGAGATGGCGATGCGCAGAAGTTGCACGCCGATGGAGAGGCGCAGGGCCATGTTGGAGAGAACGTAGACTGGTTCGCATGCCCACCACCACTATTTTTGAGGGAAGGTTAGATACTTAGATGTTGAAAGACGGGACTGCGGTTTGGCTTGGCTTGAGGGGGGGTAATGGACACTTACCTTCAACCCGATGGGAATCTCCTGTGGTGGAAGATCAGTCGCATGTTGACCTGTGCCATGATGGCAAGCTGTGATGCAAAATGTGCAATAGAGTACGAATAATATCTTGTAGCAACAAACAGTATTAGCATTGAGTGATGAGGGCAGGCAGGACCAATAGTTAAATGTGTAGATGTAGATAGGTACGTTACAGAGATAGGTATAGAGATAGAACTAAGAAAAAATTATACATACCCACGCGATCACAGCCGACCAGTCATCGACACCAAACTTTTTTACAACGCCGATTCGACAATAGCACCGGAGTCCAAGTGTGAGGGTGCTGAAGGAAAGGAAGAACCCGGCAACTCCCAAAACCTGTGGACCTCGGCCCGCAATGGGGACTGTCATATTTAGAGGAGTAGGAGGAGAAGGAGGAAGTGTTCTTCTTCTTGTTCGTCTTCGTCTTTTTCTTCTTGTTCTTCTTCAAGATGACGACGATAGTGGTCTGATAACCGGGGGAACGTACTACTCATGTACGACGATTCATGTGGGCGGGCGCGCGGGCTTCGATATGAAGAAGGTAGGCGGGCAACACCACACTCGGGCCTGGGCGTTTATGTGATTGATTGATGGATCGAGGAATGGCAGGCAGCGTTTGATATCCGTTCGGCGGGTGGTGGGCGGGGTTTGGAACAATGATATGGAAAAGAGTGCGGATTTGGGGATTTGGGATTCGGGACCTGGGGGACTTGTGACTTGGGACTTCTTGGAATGGGGAAAAATGTCTTTCTGCTTTGCTGAGAACGGGAGTGTGGAATATTGGAAGAGACAGTATCCATTTGCAACGGTGCTGCATGCATGCAGCATGCACACATGGAAGCAGAACCAGCAACAACCCAGAACGTGGTTTTCGGTTTTTTTTTTGTCCCCTGGATCTCTTCCTTTTGCTCATATCCGACCAACCACTAGGAGTCGTTCCATATTCCTTGCCAAACTAAGATCCCTGGTACACTTGCCTGGTCTTGGTGTAGCCGGGCGTTGCTCGAGTGTTTCTGCAGGAAAGATCTGCAATTCGGGTTTTTGTTAACGGGTACCTCTGCTCACTATGCTCGTTATGCTTCTGCGCATCTGTCAAATTTCCTTGAGCGGTCTCGGCTCTTTGCTGACGTTATTTCCCTTCTCCTGTCGATCATCCGTCCGTTCAGATGGGTTATTACATGAAGGTACACAGTCAACACAACCAGCCTACCTAACTTCATGTTAATGTTATAAGAGGGCAATGATCGGCTCTGTCCCCGTTGGACGGAAGGCTGGATGGGTGGGATGAACCCCTTCTCTTCTAGTGTTGACATTTCAATCCCAAAATTATTCCAGGTTGGGCGGCACTTGGTGGACATAGCGTCACAGTCTCTCACACTCCCGGACCTCTTCAAGCTCCATTTAAGACCCGTTTTTCTTCATGCAGGTCCCAAGCGAACCAATCACATGTATTTCCCTTTTGCTGCAGCAAAATTTGCAGCGTGTCCGAGCAGAGGCAGCTCTCATGTCGCGCGGAGATACGTACTATGGAAGGTTCAAAGAGCTAGATGCCCGCTAAATTACAAGCCCGATTCGCCTAACCTCATTCATCCACTGGGATGGAACGCCTGAATCAGGGGCAATTGGCAGGTGCTTCTAGTGTAGCGTTCGGAAGTTCCTTTCTTGGGCTTGCTTCCTTTCGTGTTCTAAGATACGCAACAACTTGTCGAGGTATCCACCCCCCACCGGAGTTTCGTGGAGACTGGAGACTGGGAAGACAGCTGTACCTGGTGCAATATCTGTAGGGCTCTCCATGAGAGAGTGAGAATGGCTCAGAAATATCTCCACGGGGAATCAACATCCAGCATCCAACACCGCTGGTCCATGAAAACCTCCCTGGGCTGCAAACACAAGTCCAATGTGATAGGTGTTTGAATATTCCTTAAGTCCGAACACCTGTTTTCAGGTCTGTCCCTATAGGGGCAACCGGGCAAGTCCCGCAAGTTTCACGAAAAACACAAACTCCATGAAGCTCCGTAAAAGAATGGGGACTCTCAGATGACATCATCCATGTCCCCGTTCATGATCATCACGCATCTCATGTAGCAAAAGCTCACTACATACACGTATACGGTGGTGTGCACTACTGCAGGTACCGCTCTATTCAATATTGACCTGAGTGAAGGACCCCGACCTGGTCACCTGACAATTTAATAGTCTGGGAGGCCGAGACAACGCAGGCCCAGACCCGAGGAGTCGGGTCCAACAAACAGACCGGTCTTGGTGGCGGGCTGAAAATGGGTGTTTGATGAGTGGCCCGGTCTAACCCGGGGAACTGGCGGGTTCAGCAGGCGGTGGATGTGGACGGATATGGCGGAGTCGACGTTGAGCGGGTAGGGAGCAGGCAGGCCGTGCTCGTAAGGACTAGACTCGCCGGAAGCCCGGGACTCGTGGAGAGTTTCCACGGTAACGGTCAGCGGGTCACGTGTGGTCGGCCACCTCGTTGATCCCAACTCATTTCCTTTGCCATGACATGATTCTTTTTCCATGTTGAGGTTCGGTCGGTTTACCTTTTGCCAATTATAATACCCATCGGCGGTCCTGGGCCCGGTCCCTACCGTTTTGTTCCCGATCTGACGGCGCCGGAGCCTTCAGCCTTTCTTCTTCGAAAAGTATTGGACAATCCGGTTTCGACAACGACTGGAAATTTCCTCGCCACCGCCGGCAACATGGAGGCAAAGGGTGTCGTTGGCAAGTTTACGAGATTTGAACAAAGGTCATGAATGTTGGGTCGGGTCCGTCCGTCCGGTATCAGGAGGTCCTGGTTGGACTGAGCGAATCAAAGATGTGCTTGAATAGGCGTCTCCGGAACCATTGGTTGGATTATGGTTCAGAGAATGTCTTGGAGCCGTTCCTGTCCCGTTGGGTGGTTATGACAAGCACCCATCAGAACTTTTCGGACGTCCCGTCGTCGCGCAGTGAGATGTCGTCGGGGCGGATGCAAACACTCAGGCCACTTTACCTCGGCTCGGTCGACTGTTATTTGAGCCTCCCATTCAAACCATTCTCGAGCCATTCCAGTGGGTGGTGGCGTGGCGTCGGGCGTTACATTCGCGTGGCGGCAGGGGGGCTCTTGGCTGAGTGAGTGATGGCTCGCTGCCGTCACGATCACACCCGTCACATTGCATTGCTGGCAGTTGCAGTGCCGAACTGTCTTGGCACAAAAATCCTCGGAGATTTTTATTGTTTTGAGCCTCCTTTGTGTCATCTTCGTGGTGACTTTTCCGTGGCGGATCAAGCGTGGACGAATAACTCAGACAATAGCGTTTATTGACCTTTCTCAGGGGCAGGTAGGGTGACGCCAAGTTGGTGTGTGTAAACTATCGATTGTTTTGCGCTGTTCCACCGTAACTCCCGTGTTTGAATCCGTGGTCTTCCAAGGAAATGATAGTGGGGGAAAGCGGGGGAGATTGGGCTCCATGGAGTCTCAGCATGCAATTCAATATTCCAATGTAATGCACAGCATCGACATCCATAGTGTAGACTGAGCTGGACCTGGTGCTGGATCTTGCGCTCGTCTTCTCGCAGATCATTTTTTCTTCTTCAGTTCCATCATCTCATCAAACCAAGCTGGGGTGGCCGACGTCTCTCAGGGTACAGCATCCATCCCAGATCCCAGCCTTTGAAGCCTCCATCTGGGAATGTTGCGACTGAACTTGGCGTCCTTCCACTTGTCCAACAAACCAGCCGTCACTCTTTCCTCGTCCCAAATGCACATCTTTCCCATCGGCAATTCCACTCTTTACAATATTTCTCCACCCCAAAATTTCCAAGCCGGGTGTTCATCCCATTCGCTCCAAATCGCCGAATGGAGCTGCTCAAAGCGAGCGGAGCGGAGGCCCTAACTTTTCGTCCCTGACAGGGTTTGGCCTGCCTGCCTGCCTGCCCCTTTCGCAAATGATCTACACTACCTGCCGAGCCTACTAGGGATTCCCGTTACAACAACGGCGCAAAGTCTTGGGAATTTCATCAATTTTGCTTTGTTCCATCACCTCAAATCCATGTCATCGGCGACGACCCTAGCTTGCCTAGAAACTCAGGGTATCATTCGCTGTATCTCCCCTGACCAAACGCTACACCAAATGCGCTCGATAAAACGCGTGAATCAGGGGCGACGATACCCTAACTCCAAGATAATGAAAGAGGCGTTCGGCATTTCCCTTTCTTGATCTAGTCTCAACCATCCTACCGGCACCCGCACAGACCAGACCAGAGTCAACACCCACCACTCTCCGCTTTCAACAAGTTGTGGACTTGTGGTTGCCTTCGGTTTCCTTTTAATTCCATAGGGTATCCGACAACCTGCGTCCGACAATACAACGTCCGAAATCCTGTGTCTGGGTCGGGGTTCAGACTTCAGTTTTAGCCAGAGAGCCACCGAGTCCACCGACAAATCCACCATTGCCTTGGTGGGTAAACATTACCGTGATTGTCTTTGCTCATCTTCAGTGGATGACCGGTGGGTAGATGGGCGAGATGGGTAGAGTTCCCGCGCTCCAGCAAAAGGCTGTGAATTGCGTGGAACCCCCAAATCTCAACTGATGAAGATCTCTCTGTAGACCAGATTCACCAGGAAGTCCTTAAAAAAAATCAAAAAGTAATTGCCTTTTTCCGCGGCGGCCGCCTAGTCCAGGTAGTCTTCCTCAGCTGCTTCATGTTTCCAGTCCAGTCCACAATCTCTCGGCCGTCCCTCGAGCGTACTCCACGATGCCAGCCCTAAAGGTCTCCTAAGCTGACTTCATTAGAGCCAACCTATTGCGACAAATTGGGTCCAACTACCGAAAACTATCCGGTAATCGAGCGGGATGATTGCAAAGTGGCTCTTTGAAGGCTTGAGACGAAACTACCTAATGTTTAACCGAACTGACAAGGAGAAAGCTGAGCTGGATCGGAATTGGCACGCGACACCAGACGAGATATTCAGGGAACTTCCATGGAGAAGGGATGCTGCTTTCTTTCAGCTCAATTCATTATGGACCAAGTCACCAACGGAGAAATGGAGGGATTCCTAGTGTTGTTTAGTGCGACCTGACAGATGCTGTGGCGACTGCATCACATTCATTAGATGGACCGCCAGCCTACAAGCCAAACTGCCACGAGAATGACGAGATGGCCTTTTCCCGGTCGGTCGGTCCCTGATTCGACGACTACACTACGCCATCCAACAATTTCCCTGATCACCACCACCGGAAACACGGAAGGCAAGGGGGCGTCGTTGATGCACATGAGACACTGCGTTCTAGCTATCAATCTGTAGGGGTATGGGTGGGCGCAGCAGTCCCTGGTGAGCCGGGAAGTAGGTCTAAAAGTTCTCGACTGGACTGGAGGTCGAACTGTGCGGGTGGGGGGCCAGGTCACCGGGTGTGGTATTGGGAAGTCCTGGGTGGGTTGATCAAGAGCAGCAAGCCAGACAAAGACGGTAAGGTGCGTTTTCGTTCGGCGTGCAATCATCGCCTGACAACGCTGCGATCTTCTGATGAGACTTGGGACCGTTCAATGTCAAACTCGAACGCCCAAAGGGAACATGATAGCTTTTGCTGAGGTCTGCACGTTAACGGGAGGCGTCGGTAATCCTCTTGGGGAATTGACCTTTCAACACTCGATATGCTTTCGCATTTCGATTTATGCTTTTCTCAGTAACACAGCTCCATTCCATGGTATGAAGGATGTGAGGCCATCAGCAGCTCAAGCACGATCGTTTGAAAATCAAGCCTGTGTACCAGATCATCAGATCCTCAATTACGAAAATGACTCCTGCGGCACCTGTCCAAGACCGACAACCTAGTAGACGTAGTCTACCGTCGATAGACTTGGCCACGTTGACTTCATCGCACACACCAGCACAGCTTCTGAACCAGCAGCAGCAGAAAGAATCGTTGATCGCTATCTCGCCCCAGGTACCTACAATAGGTATAAACATGATTACCAGTACCTTAGTTACCGAATGAATCACCACATTCGCAATACAGGCCACGCTCTAGACTCACAACAGGAAAGTTGACTGCTAACTCACAAATCCGCCTTGGAACTCGCTTGTTCGTTTACTTATCCCCTATTGCAGACCAAACCACAAGCAAGGCCTTTTGACTCGACACGCCAGTTCTTAGGTGTATCTTCTGAAATAGCCGTATAAGTTCCAGTCTTCCAATGCAAGCCTCCTTCCCACCAGACCCAAGTCGTCAAACCGACCGCATTAGGTACCGTCCGTTCCTTCCGTGCAAGACCTAAGTTCTCCCGGATCATTATCGGAGGGCCGATGGCTAGGTAGCTCTAGGTACCTAAGCTAAGTCATCGCACCCGATCGGTTTTTATGACCAGTACAACACCACGGAATTTATGTTGCTCGAATGAGAGCCACAATTTTCAGTCGAGGTCAACGTCTTGCCGTCTATGTCTGGTGTTCAACAGCGCCGTGGCGTCGAGTTGGCGCGGCGACATAGGCCGTTGAGAAAGTCGAGATATCGCTAGGTATGGTTGATACCTCACAGATTCTCGATGGGCTGATTGATGCAAGCCATCGTCACACCATCGCACCATCGCACCGGAGTCTCCCCATCAATTCTAGTGCCGGCCTCCGAACTTCCACCCAATAATTGGATGACGACTTCCACTTCTCAGAATCAGATGTCATATTCCGGCTCGGCTGTGCCGTTTCTGTTCCAAATTGTCGGTTGCGTTCAATGTCACTCGCTCCATCGCCAGCAGCATCGTTAGCATCACCCCATAGGTACCTCTAGGTAACAAGGGGAGCGGTACAAGAAATTTGATACTTTCCCATGTGCAGCGCAAGCTGATAGCAGCGATTGAGCACGTCCCCAACAAAAAGCAATTTCCTGTCCATGTCCATTTCTTGGTCTTGGCAATAAAGTCGGTTACCTTGCTCTCGAGTCTCGATCGAAAGTAACTTCCAGTTCTTGATATCTTTTTCCACTGAAGGGAACTAGATATTTCTTACCTACCTTACCTACCCAACTGAGGGCAGCGCCGAGGAGTGCCGGTTCTGTGTTCCTTGGAACCATATGGTATCGAGGATGTTCCACGTCGGGGGCCGTTTGATTATGTCGGCTCGAGGTCGGCAACATTCTTGCGGTGTCAATCAGCTTGCAGATGCATTTACCGGTCCAAACCGCCAGGGCATGCAGCCATGCCGCCATGCTTCTTTCCGACTCGATCAGGATCCGGTCCCGGCCGTTGTCTGAGGTCTCCGCTCTCTGGTTGGCGGCGCCGGATGACCTTTTGCTTTCAAACCAGCGACTTCGATCAACGACTAGCAGCACCAGCAATATCAAGACAAAGGTCGTTATTGACGCACAACTTCCACTATACTAGTGGCCGCCATTCATGAGATGGCGCTTTGGGAAGTTTTATGTTTCGTGGGCATGATAGTTGAGCAAGTTGTCGCAGGCTCATGGGCAGGTTCCAGCCCACACACGCGTCTATATTGAAAAGAACGACAATTGACATACGAGCTTCTCCCTCTCCAGGACTTGAGCTTCCATCTCTCTGTCTTTGGGTACCCGGTTGGTACCGTACCTAGAGCTACATTCACGGTTCCGGAGTCTTGACTCTTGAGCTACGACTTCTCAAATCTCAAGTGCTACACGACGTCCACAACAGCGGGAAGTGTCCAGGTGATGGATTCGTATCACTGCTGTCTGCTCCCCACGGTCCCACCATGAGCCCCAGTCGAATAGTCCAGCACACATAACGATTAGCCGTCGGCACCACCCATCGAGCCCTCGAGACACTAGAATAAGGATCGCAGACCACAGGGTCCAAGACGAGACACATACGCCGCTCTCGGCGTCGCCGGGGCTGATCACGAAGGAGCCAGGGGAGTGACCTTCCGTGGTTCCTGATCCCGGACAAGGACAATGTCTGGAAGTCTCGTAATGGCCAACAAGCAGACAGCGCCAATAGCGGCTTTGGGAGCATGGTCTAGGTCTTGAAGAGGCCGGCATGTGGTATCTTCAATGCCGATAACATTGTGTCGACGAGCGTGAGTAAGTCACATCTACGATCCTGAATTCCGGTACGTTCTGGAAGCCGTGTTACCGATCCGATGATGTACTGTTTATTCATACAATGACCATGACCTCACGCTTCTTCCGGGTTGAGCAAGATATCAGGCTGGTGGCGCCCTTCGAATTTGGGAAAGAGTCTGTGTCAAGGACTGTAAGGTTCGCCCCGCTGGAGAATCTTTGCAAATCAAGTCGCGGACAAAATGAGCTCGTTCTTGTAGAGGATTTAGAGTTTAGACTGTTTGTCTGCAGCTCGGGGAGACACACTCGTGAAGCTGATATTATGAAGAGTAAACCTACCTGCACCCCATCAAAACCTAGAGGCACCCTATAGATTTTGGACATTTCGAATTTTTTTACCCTAATCAATCCACCACTTCAATAAAATGAGTTTGGGTATAGGATATGGTTAATATCCACCCATTCCAACCCTTTCTTTAATTCCGGGGCTGTTGAACAACGAAGTGCGGTGTAAATTGCAAAAACTGTCACTGTGAATGCAATTAACAAGTTTTGGCCAGCTATAAGAAGATATTAATCAAATTCAGCTTTAGCTCCGTAAGATCTGCATCTTAGGAGTCGGGATATGTAGTTTTCTCTCTCTTTCAAATTGTACTTATAGCTTATTATGCACTTGTTTAAAATCTATGGGGTGCCTCTAGGTT